AAAATTCAAAACCCGATACCAATATTTAGGGCATTCGCAGCCCATACAAGTTGTTTTTATCAACAGAATTCATTCATAGATCTCAAATTTTGTGTCAAATGCCATACCACTGCTCCCCCTTTAATTGGTCTAAAATAATCTAAAAGCTTGGAACGTGAAGGTAGTGAGCAATGGCCTTTGCATGATAAAATAATTGACTTAATAGGACAAGTCAGTTGTTAATCAATCAGAATTGTGGGTGGTGCTAACTGAACATATTTAGGAATTTCTGAATAGTGTTGGATGGTGAATAAAACACAACACGAATGAGTGAGGTTTTGCTTGGTAGTGTATGTGGTACTTTTCATCCCACACCAGGACACAAGGCTGCAATCAGGTTCTTCAATTCCTGTCTATCCTTGGCCATCAGTTCTGCTTGGTAGTGTATCAGACAAATATGGTAATAGTACAGAATGGTTTCTAATGGTAATAATATGTGTTGATAACTGTTCTCTATATCATTTTTTTCAGGCATTACTTGAACGAGGAGCAATTGGTATCAGTGCTTATGTAACTCATGCTGTGTTTCCCCAAGATTCTTGGAAAAAGTTTGTCGATAGCGAGGTTAAATTCACCAACTTCTGGATAACAGATTCCATCCCGCATTCCAAAGAGATTGCCAAAAATCCGCCATTCAAGATGCTTTCGCTCTGTGATAGCATATCAGATGCCTTACTGGGCTTTGATCTTTTACAGGCTTAAGATGAATATCTACTATAATAACTTTGAATGCTACTTTGGTTACCAAGACCCCCACCCGACTTTGGCAACCTCCATGTATGTAACTTTAACAGATGCATTTACATTGTCAGAGTACACACTAATTTGAGGCTTTTGTAATTATGCACAAGTCGTCAAAGATATTAAAATTAGTGGCCTGTTCTTCATTGTCATATGGGGAGCACAAAGCCATGACGTAATGACAAGTGTTATGGTTATGATCAATCATATTTTATTGATTCAGCTGACCTACATTAAATGCAGTTTTTGGCTTACTGTTATTTTTCTATTTAGAGATGCACTCCTAATGTGGCTCTAATATTATTATTATTATTAATTTAACTTTACAACATCTTTTAATTAAAGAAGTTATCATTGCATTGTCATGTTATGTATAGGTGATGTGTGAAGGCGATTAGATTCTGACAGGATAATTAAAGGAAATATAACTCAAGCTGTGTTATTACCCATACTATATTTAATTTTTGATCAATACAGGTACGGTATTACCAGTAGCTCCCAGAAGTTATTTTTTGTCTTTCTTGACAGGATTTAAGAGTAAGGTGTTCTGTGGGAGTATGTTGTAGGGCTCCATCAATAAAGAAATAAGAGATGTATCATGGGAGTACTAATGGGAATTTATTATAAATTAGTGATGGCTTAATATCTACCATGGGAGTATCACTTTTATTTAGGGCTTTATTAATGTATGAATTTATTAATTTTATTTCACCCAAAGAAATGTACAAGAATCACAAGGCTTGCCTTCTGATGAGGACCAAAAAGGTATTTCTCGCAGATCTAATCTAGTTCTTGACCCCTAACCATACTTAAGTATTATAGAAAAATGTTGTGAACAGTGATACATACACAAGAATACACTCTTTACTTATGTAAGTTTAAATAAAAAGAAAAAAATACTATATAGCAGTGTTCATGCACAACTCCTTAGCATGAGTTAAGAGGTCAAATACCTATAAGTTAGCCCTTGCTAAGAAAACATTTGTAATGCTTGACACGGAGTAAGAAATGCTGAGTCCAGAACAGTTAGCATGTGCTAACGAAGTGTGTGTGAACGCTTAGCTTGGGCCAAAACACCATTGTATTCAATAATTATTTGGAAGATTTTCTATTATATTCATAACTATTCATTTCGGTATGCCATTTCCGACAAGACAATCAACGTGAACACAAACAGATTGTTCACAAAAAAAAAATAATGAACTGACGTTGATACTCAGTGCTATTTCCTGTTATTCTGCAATCTGCACTTTCTGGATTTGTTTTGGTATTGTTTTATAACCATAGAACTAACATGTATACATTTCTAGTTCAAATGACTAAGGATTTTTGTATACTAACAATTTTGGGCGTTCCTTAGCCTGTGGTAAGCACTGTTTTCTCCCGTGCTTGAACACATTCACGCATTTGGGTCTATCAAATATGCAAACATATGAGATTAGCTTAAATCTTATCCCGTACTCTGTGTAGCGTGAACACTACTAAAATTATGTATTTTTACTGATTCAATAATAATAATCATTATATAATGAATGTGATTACAATAGTAAACATACAAATAGTTGATGCATGTATATATTAAGTGTTATTTAAAAGATAAATTTTCAAAACATTTTCCATGAATTCAATATTTTCAAAGTTGTTTGAAGATTACTTTTAAAATTTAAGGCACATGTATATTTTAAGCACTATACATTTTTTTAAAACAATACATTTCACATGTTGAATACTTTGTGGCGCACATATCAAACATTATTATATATTTCTGACTGTAATGCCATAAGTTACAGCATGCCATAATTTTGCGGTATTGTACTGGGTATAAGAGTCTGCATAAGAGTCTTCCAGAGTTTGATCAGACCCCACACAAAAAAGTTTGCTTAAATCTGTCCTTAAACGTTTTAGATTTTGACATTCCCATGATGTATTCCTGGGAGGAAAAGATGTATAATAATAAGGTTATTACAAGGATACTCGTCGACCTCTGCTGCGTACTGTCTTCATGCATACTTTGCAGTATCCTCGTAATATTCTCATATTACTGTACATCTGACAACAAAAACAATAAAGTGCCATATAAATGTGTCCAAAAATGTTTGGATGTCTTCCTTATTTGGAAAATGCACTTCACATTTATGTCACATTTGAACACATTTGTTACATCGGACGCAGAAATAGAATACATTCTTCATTATAGATAATTCCAGACCCCAGTGCTACTTGTGTGAACATTCTATAAATGAGAGTATCTTTTTTAATTTGTATGATGTTTTTATTATCTATAATTATTTTAATGTAAATGTACTTGAGTATTATTTATTATGTGTACTGCTTATCTGTATAAATCTGAAAAAAGCATAATTGCAAGCAATATTTTTAATAAACACTTTTATTTGAATAGTTTGAATTTCTTGAAATATTTCTGTATTTCTTCCTTTGGATATGGTTTTGCAGCTAAACAAGTTGGTATATTTTCTGGCTGTTCAATCCAAAGTTTGTGATCTATTTTGTCTTCTTGTAGTTTCTCTGCTAATTTCTGAATACTCTCCTCATCCTTAGCCTGTAATAAAATAATAAACAAGTCACTGTGTGTAGATTAAATTCTAAAAACACCTTTAACAGTCCATAAACATGCTTGTAGGAATGATTTGTAACATAGTTGAACTCTGGTGACCTTGCCCTTTGTTATATAATATAATTCCCTTTATCATAGTTTGATTCAATATAAATATGCATTGTCATAATTAATTTTGAATACAAACAAGTTTTGGGGTTGAACCAACAGTCTACCGAATGTCCTTAAAAGATGTAAATATCTTACAAAAACATTGGTGGCTTATTTGTTTAATTATTTTAAGGAACATAATTTCCAGCTTTATTCAAAGTAATTCAGATATTTTAGTATAAAAACAAATGTCCCATTGCAAAAAAAAAGTGCTGCATTTAGATGTGAATAGATTCATAAAACATGCAAGATAACAGAAAATTTTAGCTGGCTTTAGTCCAAGTATTTTGTACAGGTGTCTGTCAAAAATTAATGATTTACTGAGACAAATATGAACTGCCTCATTGTGTGACTACTGTATTATATGAAAAGTAAAAAAAAACACCCT